TCCATCAGTGCCCACTCCGATCGTTCGCAGGAACCTTCGACGATATCCATGAGCTTACCCCAACGGCCTCCAATTGGATCTCTAACCTTGACATGAACTTATAAATGTTGCTGATTAATCCCCCGCCATACGCAAGAAGAAGAGATATCGAGTTTCAAGAGATACTTCTGATTTACTTAATCAGAGATGATTAAGGAATGAGATCCGGGCCCAACCTCGAAGACTTTCGTAGGTAACTCCGCTTTGCCCTGGTGCAATGGAGAATGAAATAGAAAGTTGTGGAAAGTGAAATCGACAGAAACACCAAAGGACACTTGCAAATTGTACTTGACAGTAATAAGGCAGCAAACTTCGCACACTTTCACTTTGGCTAATCATATGGTGCACAGCTGTGGCATTTTGAGGTATCTTCAATCGGGATACGCCCCAGTTCTTGATGTAATCTTTTGACTACTGCCTCTAGTATACCAGTATACCCTTCCAAAGTCATGGCTGATTTGCACTTAAGATGCCCATTCATTATGAACCCGAAACAACTCCGCCAGTTCACTCCTCGAAAACACTAGTAGTCTCTTGACATGTTTCAGCAGATGGCCTTCAACATGAAAATGCTCCTCGCGACAGAAGCAAGAGAAGACACAAGTCAGAGAAGGCCATGAGCCAAGTCTACAAAAAAAAAACCATTCTCTTTGCTTCGAAATATTGAATTTTGGATCCGTTCAGAAACGACTTCTCTCCGCAATTCCAACAAATTGAAGCAATGCAGACAACTAGGTGAGAGGCATCATATCTGTCTCACCCGATGGCATGGTTTTAGTTATGGGATGAGATGAACGCAAATGAACCGGATCCATTTCGCCCATGGAGCACGTTCACGAAACCAGATTAAGTTCCCGTTTAACCGGCTATGCAAATGTCACCCAAGGGGAAACACAGAAATGAATCTTACTCCTGCTTCTCTATTATCCTTGTTTTGGACGACACCCTCGAGCGTGTTGTGAGAAATAGGGTATGCACGGTTGTGCAAAGCCTACAGGGTGCAAATAATTTTCCTGGAATTTTTTTCCCCATAACGAATCCTAACCCCGTATACATAGAAATGCCGATATTCCTTATGGCACGACTGATCAATATGAATTGTTTCGGTGAAAATTCTAAACGATCTCTCTCTGTCTGAAGAACCCCTTTAGAGAAGGTGGCCGTCTATGTATTGGTTGGTGTCCTGTGTATGCTAGGCGAAAACTTGCAGTTCGATTTCAATGTCAAGTGAGAGAGATCCCGTTGCCATCTGTGGTATTCTTGGATTAGGTTTTTGAGCTTTTAAGGTGAATTAAACTTTTATGGCAAATTCATGACGTGCTAAGCAAGGGTATGGCAGGGGAATGGCTCAGTTGGAAGCCCCTTGGCTTCCGTGGAAGATGACCCGGATCCGAAACCGATCAAGTCAGGCAATCATTTCCTCCCGTAAGCCTCGCTGTGCTAGGGAAGGAAGACCCCCGATTGGATCCCCGACTGGACTAATCTGGCAAATATTTCAGATTTTGTGATCATTTTCCTCATATTGATTTCCAAAATAAATTATTTTTCTTCATTGGTCGCTTTTCGAATTTGAAATGGTCTTTTCCATTCATGATTCATTCCTTCATTCGTGATTTATTTGTGAGGTGGTCTCAATGATAATAAAATCAGCTGGGCGACATTTTCGAACTTCTTAAGGTTTGTTTGAAATTTTTTTGTTTGGTTTGAACCAGTTGCTTATTTTAAAGGGGGGCAGGGGGGGCAGCCGCCCCCCCCTGGCGCCCATAGGACAGAACCTGGCGCCCCCTTGGAGGAAATAATTTTCTCACCTGATATCACTCGGATGGAGTTTGACGCCCCCGCTCTGTTGCCTTCCCCCCCCCCCCCCCCCCCCCCCCCCCCCCC